CGGGGCCTGTGGGATGTGAGCGGCGATGGAGGGGTGTGTAAGGAGGAGCTGTACCCTGGCAGTGGGCAGGTCGTGCCCCCCAATGCCTCTGTAGAAGGTACAGCTGGGCCCCAGGGCTGGGCGGGCTGAGGTATCCAGGAGGCCCCATGGCTGTGTGTGAACTCCCCTTGTCGCAGGGCCTGGCCTGGCTTTCACACCTTCACCAGGGCCTTCTGCTCTGTGCTACCGGCCAGGCGCCCTGCAGTGAGTACAGGGGAGCCTGAGGCTCAGCTCCTTTAGGCTTGGATACCTGTGTATGAGCCTGCAGGCCTCGCTGGCCATCTCAGCTTTCTTTATGAATGGTGATTATTAAGTTTAATTTGTAGTTAGCAAGGCTAAGAAAACCAAAAATCCTTGGACGTGTAGACTGAAGTCGAGGTCTCCTGCTTCTGTGTGGCGTTTACATCCGAGTGCAGAGTCCTTGCGTTGGTCTGTGTGGCTGGGCCTGACGTGTGCACTGACCGAAATGGAGAGGCCAGGACCTGTTGTAAAAGATCCCCTGAACCTCTGATATTGAGGTGCTTGTGGCTGGCAAATCTGAGTGCTTTGGGCTTCAGCATGAGATCAGAACAAGAACTCACACAGTTTCTGTTCTGGAGGCTGCTCTCCCTTATCAGTGTTTTAGCACTCGAGATACTCTGTTTAACTTCTTGTGGCTGACAGATTAAATGGAAGGGCATCTTGACCTTGAGAAAAGCAGGATTTCCAGGTCCCACCTGTGTTCACTGTACAGAGAAGTTTGAAGCTGGAAGTGGTTCCTGAAGTGTGAGGGACTGGTGCCGTGTCAAGGGAAGCACTGCAGGGGGTTTTCTAACTGAGTGGGAGCTGGAGTTACTTGTCCAGCTCCCCGGGGAGTGGCTGAGCTTGGAGGGGTACATTGCCCCCTTCCTCTTTATAAGGCTCCAGCTTTGGTTGGGAAGGGCTTTATTACATATTTCTGCATGTGACTGGGACAGTTGAATTTCTACAGCTGAAGTTTCCATTCTGATTATTAGAAACAGAAAATCACATCCCCTGATTAGAAAGGCGTCAGGATTGTGAAGCAGCTGTTTTGTTTGGTGTTGATCATCAATCGGCCCCACTTGGCTGCTTGCACGTGGCCAGGTTTTGGTGTTCAGACAAGGTAGTTTGTGTTGACTTTGCTTTCTTCAGCAGAAGTTTTTATTTTAGAAGGAAGGAAGAAAAGCAGGATAAGAGGTTGATGTGGCAAAACCACCAAAAAGAAAGTGTGCTTCTGATGGTGCTGTGGCTGGATGTGAAATAAAACTCTTGCTATTCTCTTCTCCCTGCTCCTCACTTTGGGCTGCACAGTGAAGTACTCTGGCTATCTGGATCACTGGGATAAGCCCTTCTGCACAAACAGGCATCCTGAGCTGCTGAAACTTGGAAAAGGTAGGTTTGAGCCAAAACCTTTGTCCTGGGACTTGGGGTTATAGAGACCAGCCCGTAAAGACACGTCAATTTAAATGCTGTTTAGTACCTGTAGATTATTTCAAACCTTTCAAATTTGATAATGGAGTCCAGAAGCTTTCTGCTGCACACCTGTGCTGGTCAGTCTGCAGCTGAGCACCCTCTGCCTGCCTTGGCTGTGGGAGCGAGCAGCAGCACCCGTGCAGTTTGTGGCAGCAGGGCTGTTTGCTGCCTGCCCTGAAGCAGCTGCTCCTCTTGGTGTTTTTAAATCACCTGAGGCAATGTTGCTGGCTCCTGTGTGCTTGGTCCCAGAGCAGACTGCCTTGATAAGCCATAATGGGGCAGTTGACCGTTGTAGTTGCCGAGATATGAGCTACCAAGGATTTTTTTTCTTCCAGGCTTTAGGAGAAATTCTTGTTTGGAGTCGGGGGGGGTGTGTGTTTCACTTCTCCTGACCTTCTGTTTCTTCTTGTGACAGACATCACCCTGGGGGGCCTGGAAATTGGCCTGCTGACTATGAAGAAGGGGGAGGTGGCAAGATTTGTCTTCACACCGCCTTACGCCTATGGGCAGCAGGGCTGTCCTCCTCTCATTCCCCCAAATGCCACTGTCATGTTTGAAGTGGAGGTGCTGGACTTCCTAGACTCGGCTGAATCTGACTCGTTCTTTGAGTTGACTGCTGTGAGTTGCCTTAAGTTTAAGACCTACATCTGGAGACGAAGCTTTTGTTGAATTGCCTTCTGGTTGCTGTTGCTCACGTATTACTTATGTTTAGCTTAATTGCAGGTGCATTTATCCAGCCCTGGGGCTGCTTGCCCCCCTCTGACACAAACACACGCCCTCTAACGCTGCCCCTGTGCGCCTCGCTCCGTTTGCTCCCCTGTGCAGGGGAGAAGCAAGGCGCTGCCTTTCTTTGTTCCCGTGTCCCTGCAATGACTTCCATTTCTTTTTAGCTTTACAAGAAACCGCATGGTTTCACTAGAGGGCACCAGCTTACAGGGATTTCTTTGAAGGAACAGCAATGAGCTGTCTGTAAAAATCGTGTTCAGTCTGCAGCATCCAAGTGCCCGCCCCCCCAGCCCCCACCCTTTGTCTCAGCTTCTTGGCTGCTCTCCCAAGTGCTCCTTCACTGCTCGCTTTCCTCCCTGGTGAGTTACGGTGTTATTGTTAATTCCCCTTTTCATATAAAGGGCTTTGGGCTGTGGTTGTGGGTCAGTGAGTGGGGCACAGGCAGCGGTGCTGTGGGAGAGGCCCCCCTCATTCCCTCCTGCTGCTGCACAGGCCACTCTGCACACAGCCCTGCGAGCAGAGCACACTTGTTGCAAGAGAGTTTACTCCTGCCCTTTCTGGCTAACTGGCCTCTCTATGAGCTGGTTCAAACTTAGAAAACCAGGAGAAACTTGTCCCTTGATTTTGATCTTATTTATTATTGTTGTTAGGTTTTTTCCCTGTTTTGCTGGGTTGATGTCTGGTGTGGGTGTCAGGCTGGCCCTGGAGCTGGCCTGAGGCAGGCACCGTGGGTGATGCTGAGCTGTTAGAGCAATGGAGCCTTTCAATCAGCTTTACCTTTTGTGCCAGCAATAGCATTTGTGTTAACTGTGTGCTCTGCGCTCAGCAGGTGAGAGAGTTGGGCAGGAACAATTTAAGAACAAATTCCTCTCTCTTCCCCCCCCTCCCCCACGCTGGAGTCCCTTTGGTCCTGGTGAGCTCCCTGATGTGGTTGGTACCACTGTTCACCAGGAGGTATCAGCACAAGGACAGTGGCGTCTTTTGCCTGACAAAGGGAACTGCCAAGTGGTCGTGGCTGGTTGGACACTGCAGGGGCCTTGGCAACGGCCTGGCTTCTGCTCTGTGAATAGAGGGGGGCTGTGCAGGATGCTCCTGTCTCAGCTCTCTGCTTGTTTTCTTTTGTTTGAGTTGAAATTCGGGTATTTCTTTACACAGGAGCAGCAGGAGACGTTTCCGCTACAAAAGGTGTTGAAAGTGGCAGAGACGGAGAGAGAGTTTGGCAACTACCTCTACCGTAAGCAGCACTTTGAGAGTGCCATAGACAGATACAAAAGGGTAAGACACCAGAAACAATTGTTCTCCGTTGTGAAAAGCTGTGAAAGCAGTGATTATTAAGTGCTAGTTCACCATAACAACTACAATCTAGAGACTACATAACTTCATTATATTTTCCAGGCGTAGTTTGCTATTTAAGAGCAGACTTAAACACCTGCTTTTGTGTGAGCTGCAACAGTGGATGAGGGAAGAGAAGGGTTGGCAGGAATAGGCAGAACCTTTCTCTCTAGGCTCGCTCCCTGTGGGCTCTAGCTGAGACAGAAGAGGGCATCGCAGTGGCTGTGTGAGCCCTGAGCAGTTTGTGTGGCTGACTGCTGAACGGGAGCCTCCCACGTCAGCTTCTGCTGGGAGGTTGGCACAGCACGGCCTTGTGTTGCAGCAGCTTTGAGGAGCAGTCCAGAATCACCACAGTCTGGAGACAGAGATTGCTGCAATCCTGGGTGCTTGGCTTTTAGCCTTCCAGTTGGGAATTGCACAGTGCTTGAGGTTGGTAGGAACTCCAGAGGTTGTCTGGTCCAGTCCCGTGCTGAAGAAAGGTCGGCCTCAGCAGAAGGCTTCCCAGGACTGTGTCCATTCAGGTTTCAGATATCGCCAAGGGTGAAGACTCCACAGCCTCTCTGGGCAGGAGAGTGCTCAGTGATTCCCAAACTGGAATGCATCCGCCTTTGTTTCAGAAGTAGTGATACTTTGTGAGATTTTTCTTCCCTCCATTTAGGGTTGCTTTTTCTTGGTATTTCTTTGTAGCAGAAATAATTTAAATTGCCTTCCTCTCTGTAGGATTTCTCTTCTGTCTTTGACCCTAAAATCTGGGTGTAATTTTTTTTTTATTCTGCTGCTTTCAGGTTCCTTCATGGCATCCTAAACCCTGTAGTCCTGCAGCTGAGCTGGCTAGTCATGCTGATAATGCCATGCAGCATATTTAGAGTTCTGGTTATTATTATTTTTAACTGACCTAGGTAAACAGAAACGTGGCTGTAGCTGGCCCATGGGATGGATTTCTCACTTTCCATTTCTTGTGTGCTAGTTCTTTTTTTCCTGTCTGCTCAGGCGTTCTCCGTCCTTGGCCGCAGCCCTTCCAGTGAGACAGAGCAGCGTCAGATCAATGCCTCCAAGTTGCTGTTGCTGCTGAATCTCTCCCTCACTTACCTGAAACTGAAACGTCCTGCCCAAGCTTTGGCATATGGGGAGAAGGCCTTGGAGATTGACCAAAGAAATGCCAAAGCACTGTTCAGGTGTGGCCAGGTGGGAAAAAATAAAGTCCTCTGGTAGCTGCATCAGGGAATACCCCAGTGTGGCTGTGGAGAGAGCCCTGGATGAACCAAGGGGAACCACTCCATTCAGGGCTGGGCCTCCTAAGCTGGTGCAGCAGTCGAGGCGGTTTGTCTGCATCTGACCTGAAAAATCTCTGTCTGTCACATGGATCTCTTCACGGGGGACTGCTGAGCTACCTGGATCTGTCTCAGAAATGTTTGTGGTTGCACGTGTTTGAGTCCTGAAGAACAACAGTGAGTCTATATTTATCTTGTCTGCTTATTTGTCTTGTCTCCTTTCAATGGCAGGCTTGTCTCTGCATGACAGAATATGAAAAAGCTCGGGATTTCCTGGTCAGAGCTCAGCACATACAGCCATTCAACCACGATATTAACAATGAGCTGAAAAAGTTGGCAAGGTGAGAGAACTTCTTTCGCTCCCTGTGAAAGCGAGAGTGCTTAGACTGGAACACCCGCTCAGAAACATTTAATCTGTTAACAACAACAACAAAACCCACACAAAAAATGCAAACCTATTGGGTTATTAAGTAGCTTGGGGAAAAGGTAGGTTTTTCTGGAGGCAGTGGATTCAAACATTGCAGACAGGTTACAGGTGGTAGATGAGAAGCTGAGAGCACCCACGCTTTCCATGTGGTTTCTCTGTGTGTGTTTTGCTCAGTGTGGGGGATGCAGGGAGAGGGGGGCTGCTGAAGTGCCTCAAAACCAGTGCAGTGCGGTATGGTAGTGTGCAAGCTGACAGCGTTCTGGATTAGTACCATTTTGATTCCCTTTAAGATGTGTTGGTAAACTGCATCAGCTCTTTTGCACTGCAAGTGCTTCAGTGTATGATGCTACAGATACTGATATTTGTTAAAAGTTAATTTCTTGCTGTCTTGAAGGTAATAAGTGAGCAATCCTGAAGGCAAACTTTCCCTTTGTCCTCAGGCTGAGCACAGCAAAATCCTGGCAGCTTTAGTCATGCCCAAGCCCCACCAAACCATGACTAACGCTGGTCTCTGCCCTCATTCTGTTCTTCCCTTTGATACTGGCAAAAGCCCTAGCTGGTTCCCAAAAGCATGTGCTGTACTTCTGGCACTGTTCACAGGCACGAAAGGCAACATGGTCCCCACCTTTGGAGATCATAAAGCAGCCCTTGAGTGCAAACCCTCTTCTTTTGTGTGTCTCTGCTAGAAATTTGCAAAAAAGGTTTGTAGGCAGCAGTAACAACTCTTATCAGAGTAGCTGCTGTGGCTGGAAAAGCCATTCTCGTGGGCCGAGTGCCTTTACCAGGTCACGTTCTGGTGGAGAGCTGTCCTTGCACAGCAGTGTCCTGTATATCCATGTCGACTTCGATAGTCTGTGATAACAGCGAGTCTTCAGACTCCTTCTGTTACTTCTGAAGGACAAAGAACTTGAAGTCAGCACTAGCTGCTGGTCTAGAAATCTGAAACAAACCACTTCTGTTCATCCTGATCAGCCTTGAGGGTACGTAGCTACCAAATCACTAGGTGAGTGCAAGTAGTTATAAAATACATACAGGTGGCTGGCTCTTGGAGGCTTGGTATGTGGGTAGTGTCAGAATGCTGTGTTACAGTGCTGGAAGTCCTGTTATAGTCCTGGAAGCCTCTTGTGTTCCCTTAGACTCATTTGAAATATGTTGGCAGGTAAAAGAGAAATCTTGCTAATAATGTTGAGGTTGTGCTGCCAGGAAGCAAGGAGGCGTTCTGCCTTCGGGGAAGCAGCGGGCAGGCTTGTTGTCTCTGACTGGAGATAGCAGCACGTCCAGCTAACACGTGTGTCCTAAGCCGAGTACACGTTAAACCACTGTTGTCTCAGTTTCTGCTTCTGTGACAGTTAAAATTGGTGTAATTTTTGCTTCTACTGTGACAAAGAGTGGAATCAGTACAAAATAGATGAAGACAATGTAATCGGGTGTTGTTAATTATGCCACACCTCAGTCCAGATCCTGTAATGTTGCCAAACTGCCTTGCCTGAGAAAACTTGTGATGTTATCTTTTGCAAACGCTTCAGTAGTGGAATATGAACTGAAATCTTGTTCTTAGAGGCTTTTTGCTTCCTTACTGAGTATGCTTATACTTTGCAAAAAGGAATGCTGTGTGTTAGTCAGCAGCTACCTTTTGCTGTGTAAAACAACACTTTGAAAAGCATCTGTTTAACAGCTGAACCAGGTTCTTGGTAAAATTCACTTCACAGAAGGAAAACCAGGCAGAATCCACGGTGAGAATTTTGTGGAGCACCTGTCTGGCACCCGCTGTAGTGGTCTTGGTGGTGCAAATTGTGCTGCTGGATTTGGCATTTTTATCTAAAAGCTTGCATTGCATCAAATCCAGAACAAAATGGGGTTGTTCCAGCATCTGACACAAATATGCACCTCCAAAGGAGGGATTCTTGGATTTCCTGCAGTGTTAGGTATGTGAGTGTGCTGTCTGAAGTCCTGGTGGGCACCCCTGATCTGCTCGGCATGGACAGTTATGGCAACATATGTTTGAGACTTAACAGAAGAGCCTTGCTGTGCTGGTATTCCACTGAACGAAGCACTTTAAGGCTCTGGACCCAGGGGTGCTGGTGGTAGGGGACTGAGTGCTCATTAGCCAAGGTCACATTTGGGCTGTTTCTGGTGTGTTGCAACAAAAGACTTTGCTTTTCACCTTATATGGTAGCAGATGCAGGAGAGCTGAGCATGTGGGCAGCCATTGATCCCTGGGACAGTGCCCAGACTGAGTCACCCTCTGGCTCAGGGATTTCTCACCAGTGAGACCTCATTACCAGTAAGGTGAGAGCACAGGGTGCAGGGGATGCTGTGCTTAGAGAAGCAATGATTAAAATGGAGAAGGCTGGGCAGCTTTTGGGAAGGTGAGAATGGAGGAGGAAGCATCTGCCCTGTCATTCACTTAGTCTGGACACAGATCCCTGCTGTCTCCTACCCATCCTCTGCCCAGTTTCGGTGTCAGTGGTAGATATCCTGAGTAGGGCACTTGGATGATGTCTTATGCTAGGCACTGAAGGAGCTCGCCCAAGGAGTGCCACAAATGAGGAGACACCAAACTAGACAACAGGATGCAGGTGGAGGTTCCTCTGCATCATCACATGCTTGCAAAACCGATGTAGAAAGCATCTAGCCAGGCAAACGATCTCCTTTGCTAACAGTCACCAGTGAAGCAGACACCCGAGGTCTGGGGTTAAGGTACGACGTTGCCAGCTCTCCTTCCCTGACGTGGTGGAAGGGCCTGGAGGAGCTGCCTCTGTTACCAGCACACTCTTATATTATTGTATTTATATAGGAAAAAACAATACATCTTTTCTGGTTGTGGCACTGACGGGTGGGTGGGCAGTCCCACAGCCCATGATGCCGTGCTGTGCTCTACTTTGCAGCTGCTACAAGGACTACGTGGAGAAGGAGAAGGAAATGTGCTGCCGAATGTTTGCCTCTCTCAACACTTCCTCTGGCTAACCAGAAAATAAAGGTAATCAAGCTGTGAAAAAGGCCGAGGTTTCCCAAAGCCTCTGTCGTGTCTGAACTGTGTTTTCAGGTGGAGAACCTGCTTCTCTTCTGCATGGGAGGGTTTGGGAGGCAAAATGTAAGGTAATGGGAGTGTGTGGAGGGGAAGGGGCAGGATGGCGGGGTGAAATGCTGCTCCATTGTTGGCTTGGGGAAGCCTTCCTGCATGACAAGCTGGCATGGGACAGGAACCTGAAACTGGCAGCACTTGAATAAGTTTGGTTTTGTTGTTTCCTGTGCTGCTCATCCCAGCTATTTCTTGTCAGAGCCAGGGGGAGAAATAGCTGTGTAGTCTTGTTTCTCTGCCAATTAAAAGAAACAAAAAGAAATTGTTCCTGTCAAAGTTAAGAACTGGATTTCCTCCTGCCCTCCAGCGCTCCTGTCTGGAGCTGTTGGAATGCTTCGCTTCAGAAAAATCTAAATATTTTATTTCTGGGTTTTTTGAAATATTAAAAATCCTGTTTGTATAGAAAATTTCAAATAGATGTTTTGGACTCTTTAAAGGCTTAAGGACTCTTTACGGCTTTAAAAGCCTTAAATCTTCTAGCAAAATTGACAGGTTTATAAATGCACAAAGGCTCTTTGATCTTTTTTTTTTTTTTTTTTTTTTTTGTCAAAACCTTGGGGGGTTTGTGAGGGGGAGTAGAAATCTTCGCTGGTCTCTTGCCTCGGGGTAAACCCTAGGGAAAGCGTTGTGGAAAATGACAGCAGCCTTCTGTCAGAAAGCATCACCAGCTCAGGGCTGTCAGAGTTTGCTGCTCTCTCTCATGCAATACAGGCAGTACCTCTTCTACTTCAGAAAATCAGTATTGGCAGCCTTTCCATCAGCAGCAGTGTGAGTGCAGGGTGCAGCTCTGGTATTTTAAGGTTGGCTCTTTTGTCTGTGCTTTGAGGAAGCTAAGGCAGCGTTTGAGGAAGAGGTTTGACTGAAAGGCTGCTTCTGAAAGCAACACAACCCTCTTCTGGCTGGATGTGCCTCCCTGCTGTGGTCTTCACCCCTCCTGCTGCCCCCATGCCCAGCTCTGAGCTGGGCCAGTTGCTCAACTGCCTGGGAGCACAAATTCTTCTGCCCGGGGTTCAAAGTGAGACTGATCACATCTGTTAGCAGGCGCCTCCCCCCAGGCGAGTAGTTGTGAAAGGGGATTTAAGACTGAGCTGAGATCTTGTGAAGGCCATGGCTCTGGACTTGATGAGGAGTCTCTGGTTCTCCACTCACTGAATTTCAGAGGCTCGCAGTTTGGAAGTGTGTAGGACTTGGGTCTCGTGTCTGACGGTAGCACAGAGCAGTGCCTGACCCGGGATGCTTCTGCTGCTGATCTGTGCATCAGTTGGCCCTGCTTTGGGGTGGGAACTGTGAACGTGGTGATCTGCTGAGGCACCAGATGGGTACTCCACAGACTGGTAAGGTTGTGTTGCCCCTTGTTTCCCAAAAAGCAGCAGGCAGAGATGCTGATTTCCACGCAGTTGGTGTAATGGCACGTAGCTGTTGTAAGTAAACCAGTGCCTTCAGTTAGTGGAGACTGAGAAGTGCAAAGAGGACAGGAGAAAGAGAAACCTCTGCTGCAGGCAAGCGTGAGATCGAGCTGAGCTGTTCATCAGCCAGAGTTTCTGTACTGACTCTTCCCGGTGCAAGCGTACAGTGCTTACCTGGAGTTCTGCCTTCTACAGCTGATGGACAGCTGTCAAAAGCCTTCTAACCTTCTTTGAAGTTTATTTTAGTTACGGTATTAAAAAAAAACCTAAGTCTTTCAGACAAACACACATCACCGAGACCTACATAAAAATCGACTGATAATTCATTGCAAGAAAACCCTCTTACTGGAGGAGGCTTTTGCAGGGCAGAGCCCTGTGCTGGAGGTTGGTTTGCTGCTGTGTCTCACTTAAAAACTTCATTACATATTCAGAGAGGAGCAAAGCAGCTCCAACCAGAGCTGCTGCTCTCTATCAAAGGCACCGCTAATTAGTCAGACTGGAGGCAGAACATTCTTTGGTGCCCTCTGACAACTTTGTACGAGTTCAGTTTAGGGCACAAGCTGTACTTGGTCAGTCTGGCAGGCCAGCTTCATTCTTTCTGTCTTGGACGTTTGGTGAGTAGGTGGCGTGTGAACGCTGCCTCTAGCTCTTCCAGTGGGATCACAACAGCTATGGAAAATGTCCTACATAGCAGCTGGCAGGTGCATGTTGAGCGTTGACCTGACCCGTGGTCCAGCTTACCAGCAAAATGACTTGGAGCTGCAGTCGTGGCGTTTTCTCCCTCCTGCCACACTGCTACAGCCACCCCCTGCTGTCCCTTCTGGTGAGCTCTGCCGTGGTTGCTCTGTAACAGGGACAAACGCTTCATTTCTCTGTACTGAATGATCCAGGGCGGTGTTGTCTGTTTTGCATAGTGACACTCAAACCCAGACACGCTTGAGTATCTTCATCCTGCTTGGTGTTTCTCTATTCCTCCCGCTGCGGAGTCCGGTTCCTCTAATTGCCACAGATGTCTGGCTCAGAACGCGCTTTCTTCCTTTTTAACAGAGCTTCAGGTCAGAATAAATCTTCTCTGGTGAAATGCAAGGCCACTTGTGGTGCTGCCTGGAGGAATTCAGAAATACTCAGAAGGAGAAATAGAAGCACGAACGCTTTCTTAAATCCACCCTGCTGCAGTTTCGTGCAGACGCAGTGGCTTGACTCTCATGCCTGCCCCTCTTTGGGTCTGGGTTTTCCTGCCTCTGTACACTGTGTGGTGTGGACGTGTTGAGCCAGGTTACCTGGGATGTGGACAGCTGGAAGTCATCCTCAGTGCCCTTAAACTGCAGGATGGATGGGCTGACTGCTCACTCATTGGAGCTTTTTGTTCCTTCTTGTTTGAAAGTCCCAGCAGAAGTAAAGATAATTTCTTATCGTTGTATGGCTGTGGCCCTTCATTAGGGAGCTTAATCACGAGGAGTGGGGACAAATTCCCTGGAAATGTCTGGGTTCTAGTAGAGGGTCCTTGGTGATAGTTTCATTACAGAAAGATGAGTCTCTGAGAGGTTTTTTTTATTATATTATAGGTGGGCCAAAGTTGAAAGCTTGCCTCTAACGTGCATCTCTGCTCAGTACACGGGAGAAGTGGTCTCCGTAGTTGAGAGCGCGCAGAGAAGTGTTCCAGTGAAAACAAACAATGCTGAAATTATGGCAGGAAACTGTGACTCTGAGGTCAGACTTGAGATTGCCATGAAAAAGCAGGGTCTAGCAATTCTGAAGCTGTTAATTGGTGAGAATTGGCTGCAGAACTGGGGCTGTGTCACCAGGTAGAAGTGACTATAATTGGGCTTAAAGTCAGCAGCAGTTGCCAGTTAAACTGACCTAATAAGCTGAAAGAGACTTGCAAATAAACCGAGAAGTTTATGCATAACACAGGCAAAGCTCCTGCCTTGGGAGGGCTCCCGACTTTGAGTAAACAGCAACTTGCTCCTTCCCCTCCTGCTCTCCTTTATTACTGAGCAGATCTAAAATGTGCCTCCTGCTGATGCTGTCCCTACCCACTGTGGGAAGCTGAACAACAGAGAACCGGCAATTTCACTGCTCCTTTAGAATATGCAGATCACTGTACTACCAAGATGTCCTGTGCTGTGAAGGAGATTGTTAAATATCTGCTTTATGCAGAGCATTGCTGGAGCGAGTGGGAAGGCTTGAAGGATGACTTAATTAAGCATTCTCCTTGCTAAGCAGAGGAAGGAGAAAAGCTGTAATAAGGTAGTTGGGTTGAGGAGGGTTTTTTTGTTTGTTTTCTCTCCAGCTCTCTCTTCTTCTAGCATCTTCTTTTTTTTTTCAGAGAAGTTCTGCAGTTCATGCCTGTGGTAGTACCTGTAATACCTCTCTGGAAGACTTGTGGGCTCTGGTTTCTCTTCCAGAAGCTGTCAGTGGAGAAGTGACTGCACCCCCTCTTCCCTGTTGGGTGCACTGGACACGCGTCCCTGGTTTGAATGCACTGGCGATGGCTTTGCCCAGACCAAGAGGTCTGGCCTGGGCTTAGAAGTGAAGAGATGATGTGAAATGGGAAGGAGGGAGAGCCATGCAGTATCTCAGTGCCTCCAAGGCGTGGGTGAAGTGAGGGCTCTCCAGCTGCAGCAAAGGGCTGCCTTGGGGCCCAGCCCGAGGCTGCCCTCCTCAAGACTTAGCGAGTGTCAAAAGCCTGGGCTTCCCTTTAACGTGCTCAAACTTGAAGCTTCCAGGTGAGGTAGGAGCCAGTTCCTGGCTGCATTTCTACCCCAGCTCGTGTCTGCCTGCCTGAGGCCACCCTGCATACTTGCCCTGGAAAGGCCAGGCTGAGCCCCCAGTCAGGTCCCCTGTGCAGGCTTTTATTTCTCAGAGCTTTTGCCAGCAGCAGGAAGATGAAATATGCTGCTGTTACAAATAAGCAGAGTGAAAAAGTCGCTGGGCTCTTTTCATTCCCTTGCTAATACTTGGTTTATCATGCAGGTAGAGTTTAAAGAGAATGGTCTATGTACAAGATGTGATTTTACGAAGAAAGTTTTAGTTTTGCAGAACATTCAGAGTTAGTGGCCTTCACTCCCAGCAGCAGGGAGACGTGTGTTTCAGTTGTGGTACGAAGAGTAAGTAAAAATGTTTTGTTTTTACTCTGATGGGTAAAAAGGTGAACTGGATAAACCCGCACCCGAGTAGGTAGCGACCAAACCAATTTTGGATGGGAGCCTGCTGCAGGTGCCCGGGTTCAGGTTACAGCACGGTGGTGCGGTAGCCAGGGCACAGCAGTCTCTAGTGCTGCTTTTGGTCCTTGTGGCGTTATAGGTGATGGTGAGCAGCTGTGCCCGAGCCCTTGGCAGATCTGTCCACCAGTCCTGCTGGTCTGGGGTGCTCCAGTTTCTTTGAACTAGCAGGAGAAATGTCTTCATGCTGTCTATTTCTCTTAGTCTTAAATCTGGGGATTTGAAGAGATCCTGCCTTACCCAGCAAAACAAAGA